GTGCCAGATCTAATAAAGGTAAGTATTCAATATTGTAGTATTCTTTTGAGATTAATGTGTCAGGCATTCTAGATGGCGAACGCGATAAAAGTAAAAGGATTATATCGTAATAACTGCTTTTTAAGAAGCGGCGCTTGCAAACCAGTCCTCTTATCGTGCGTCACGCCAAATCTACGAGCTAAAAGCAAATACGTGTAAATAATATTCAATAATTACATATTATCGTTAATATACCAACGTAAATGGTTTATAATTCAATAGGCGACATATATGTTTATTGATTAACTTACCTGTCAAAATATTAGTTTCCCTTTTGTAATCTCCGGAACCGATTGATTAAGACTCGAGTTAAATATTTGTATATATTAACTAAATAGTTTAATGTCATATTTATAAATACCCTATTTTTGTCCAATATAAATTAATGCACCTAATATTATTTTATAAGGGACGGAGGCCCCATCATATTTTCCATTACGTATCTAGATACATGACAAGTAAGTAGAGACAATTTATCTTCCAAATGCCAAATATCATCCAATGGCTGTCGCTTATATTGTTAGGTCAAATAGAGATTATTAATTACGTAAGTAGGTCGCGAATGGGTTGTAAATCGCAAAATGTGGACGTTTAATAAGAATTTTTTTTTTTTCCTTGCGGAAATCCCCTCGCATACCACCTATCGGTGGTATGTCGGACTCGAACTGACTAAAACCGCACGCCGTCTCGGGTACTAATAGCCAGGGAACCAGGTATACCCTAGAAAGGAAGTCCCTGGTGCCGACGTTTAATAAGCCTTCGCTCACTCCTTCGTCGATGTAGGCATGAGTGTAGATATTATGTATGTATCGAACCCACTTGCGTCGAAAGTGTTTGTATCTGTGGGTATCGTAAGAGGCGAATAAGGGAGCTACGCAGGACAACAGCACTGCAAAGAGAAGGAAAACTTGACATAAACCCTATACCCAGGCCAGTAGGCCACAACCTCCTTTCTAAAGAGGCCTATGTCCAGGAGTGGACTAGTAAAGCCTGTGGATGATGATGATACTACTACTTATACTATTACTTGTATCTTATCCTCGATCTTCTGGGATATCATAAATCATAAATAAATTGTTAATATGTAAAAAAGCAAATAACCTTGCTCTTCATACAATATTTGTCCTGGGTAGGAATCAAAACCCACGACCTCCGGCTTAGCAGTCGGGCTCACTAACCACTAGACCAACAAGCCCGTCGAGTTAATACAGTTTAAGATCTAGAAACAATCCTTTTCTCTGCAATACTTCTTCCCGCTTTCACCTTTTTTTTCTGCAATACTTGCTAATTTTACTTTCCAGCCTTTATGTTCTTTTACAAACATAAAATGCTTAACGTAAAAAGGAAATTGATTAATATTTAATGCTTAATAACGTAAGCAGATAAACTATTACTGAATACACTTGAGACTTTTTCAACTGCATTTACGAAGAACGGCTCACTGCACTGTGCATATACCACATAATTTTTGTCGTCAGACGGTGAACAAAAATGATGGTAAATTGGTGTTTCACATGTTCACGCGTGTTACTGCTACGACACCAGTTCTGTTTTACCTTTTATCTACGTTACAAAATTCAAATGTACCGACCTTGTTCTTCGTACATATGAATATATTATCATATACATTGATGCAAATTGTCGGCCACACCCGTACAAATGGACCAACAGTGAACTTGAAATCACAAATAGGGTCGTACACGCCTTCGGGTCATGAACTCGTCATTCTCTGCACTGTCACTTGTAGCTTGTGGTGCAGTAAAAAAGTTTTCATGTCTAAAACACCTCACAATTTTGTCTGAGGACTTCAATAGATTTTTGCAACAAAACGGAATGACTTGTTTGCCTACTAGGTGATTTTGTAATCATGATCTAGTGATTGCATGTGTCAATACTCTTTTGTGTCATATTTCTTGAAACTGTACATTTAAACAAGCGCTTAAAAGGAAATTTAAAAACTACAGAAGTTTAAAATACAACTCGTACATAGGCGATTGCCCTATAAGGAGTGTTATGAGTTTGTTGACTACATCATCATCATCATCACTTCTAAATGCCTGAACAGACTATGTAACTGATGTATGATATCGTTAGAATCCTAATATAATCTCAGGTGATACATAATATATATTATATTGCTATAATTTTATAAAATAAAAGTATATGGTAGCTATATGATGCGTATTTTTGTTTTTAAGAGGACAATCCTTTTCATTTTTTTTAATTATTTAGTAATTGTTTTCGTAACTATTTAGTATTGTGTATATTAATATAATATCATGATTGTCACAAAAAAGCACGGCAGTGTGTTTGCATTGTCATCGTTGTTAAATAAAATTAAGTTAATATTATTCAGGTACGTAAGTTGAATGACAATCAACAAAATTAAAATACAAAAGTAAATGAGACTGACAATAATAGGAGAACACACAAATAAATGGTAGATATGTGTAAAGTAAAATAACGTTAACGAAATGTTACGTATCGGCACACTCACTCAACATTGTAGAGTCTACAACACACACAGTCTAAAAAAACTTCATAATTCTAGTAACATGACACTATAGTTGGGTACAAAAATTTTGCAAATGCAACTTTTATATAATCAGTGTCATGTTACAGGAGCTTAATATCCATTAAAGAACATAACACATAAATAATCCCAGTCCAGCAACTCGCAACAAACCTGTACCGCAAAAAGTTGTGAGTAGAAATAGTTAATTTAATACCTAAAAACATTTTATAGACCCTGTCAATAATATTAATTTTATTAGGTGTTATAATGAATGAATGGAATTTCGCCAAGCGGTCACAAGAACTTGAAGATTTTAATAGATGAGTTAAAAAGCAAAGTTTACTTTTATTTTCGTTCTTTTACCATATAACAATAATAATATGCATATAATAAACATATTACATTGCCAACCGTTCATAAACGGTAAACTGATATTAAAGTAACGAAATAAAGTAACAGATCTTTAAGTTTCAAATGCATTTAAATGTACCTACCTGACATGAATATACCTTTTTTAAATATTGCAGTAATAGTGTATTTTAGTAATTAGTAAGTAAGTAAAGTGTAATAAATTACACTATTACTGCAGTTTAAAATCTAATTTATAATTTAGAGTTTCACGGGAGAAAAATAAACGCAATATGTACAATATGCCGTGAACAATCACTTTAAACATAGACCTCTCATTATTTGAATGTCAAATCTGTACATGAGTTGTAGAAAGTAGTCATATAAAAACTTTATTAACACGTTGTAGTGTATCTAACATTTTGCATGTATATTTTAACTATCATTAGTCATGGTAGGCGTCTGAAAGATGCGTAGTTAATTTCAGAGGTGCCGCTTGTCCGCGATTTTAAGGTAATTTATTCGGATTGTTTATATTATGATATGGGATTTCATTGTCTCGTCACTGTCTCTGGGAATTATCTGAATTTAATCTATAAAGAATTTGCCTTAATTGTCTTGTCCTTAAAGTATAAGTATAATATTGTGAACATTTTATTACAGATACATAGAAATAGAACATTTTAGAACAGTTTAGCATACTTGCTCCCACTGCCGAGATAAACTGTGACATAATGTTGTTATTTAAATGTCAAAACTAAAGGATTACTTTGAAATATTATTTTTAAATAGGCCTGGCCATTGTTTTGGGCCTGGTTTTTGTTAGAGTTATAGATAGACTTATTCGTACTTATATCATACTAGGTTTTACAAACGCTTTTGCGGCTTCGCTCGTGTAAATGTCAATTTTGACAATAAATTTGGCCGATATAAATTGTAACCCGTGTGCTATTCTAGACTATAATCTATCTATGCTATGTGCTAAATGTCGTCCAGATCCAGTAAACCCTTTTTTTGGCGTAATTGAATGTTTTGAAAAGTTAAGAAATAGGTGTCTAATTATTATTAATTTTGTTAGAGAATATAATTATACTGAGAGTTTGGACTCGATAATTTAAAAAAATGGTTTCCTTTACAAATTTGGACCCCTTTTAGATGTTAGTTTTGTAAAAATCAGTAACAACGTTTTTTATAACTTTTAAAATAACGAAGTTTCATATAAAATTCTAATCCACAGTTTGCACCCGTAGGAGTGGCATTTAAAAAAATCCTTTCTTAGTGCATACCTACGTCCCCTAAGGAACATTTGTGCAACTTCATGCTTTTAGACTAAACGGTTTCAGCTGTTTTTCGGTTCATCGATCAGTCAGTGAATCAGACTGTCAGTTTTCTCTTTTACATAAGCATCATCATAAGCAGTCGTAAATGTATCCTTCCAATCTAACATATTTAGACTACCAAAAACGATTTCAAATCATCCTAAAAGGTTGTAATATTATGTCAATTATGAACTGTTACCAACAATTATTTTTCGATGAAAACTCTCGATATATTATTTAGAGCTGCCGCCTTTAATAAATAGTACACTAGAGTAATATAATGTTTCTGTTACGTTTTTAATTAAATGTAACGTGCAATTAACATTCTCGTGTGCGTCTTCTACTTATTATGTAATAAGAATAACTGTAAAAAAAATATGTAAATATAATTGAATTTTATCTACCTGTAAGCTAACAAACAACTACCGTAATGACAAATGATCCAACAAAAGGAATGAAAATTAAATTAATATTTATCATGAAATAGTAAAACATAAATTTCATATTGTAGAATAGTTACTTTTCATTAACCACAATCAGACGCGCCGATATTGATTCTGTGACGCACTGTGGTGGCGAAAAAGTATTCTGTTTTAAAAGTGTACGAGTAATATAAGATAAAAGTTGAGTGTAATATCATTACATCAACTTAAAATAACAATACGTACAAACATTGCAAACAAATGGGGGCTAATGTTCGCACAATCTATGATCAGTTAGTTTTAAGGTGGTTTGAATTATTTCAGGATCGTTTTATAATGTATTGCATTTTGTTACAGCAACATTACTGGGATCGGAATGTACGGTGTCAGAGCAGTGCACCCTGAAGGTGGCGTACAGTGCGTGTCTCGAAGGAGTTTGTCGATGTAGCGATGGCCATCTTCAGTTCAGAAAACATACTTGCCTCTCGCGTAAGTCTCTATTAATATACTTTTTGTTGTTTTCTTCGTTTGACTGTCTACTTTTACTCCCTAGACTTACTTAGAAATAACGAATTGGGAAATGTCGATGATAGGAGTGTAGCTTTAGTATTACAGATTATATGAAAAGAAAGGAAAAATATGTTTTTGTGTGACATAAGTATATCACCACTAGCTGACCCAACAACCGTTGTTTTGCCATATAAATAATTTCTAGTGAATGTTTTGGTAGTTAAATAAAAAGTAACTAACTTATTGTAAGTATGTGGGGATAGGGTCTATGACTGAAAGAGGAATGGAGCGCTGTGGCCGATGACGGCCTATAAAAAAAACCACTAACCATTCATTTTCTTAATGCAATGTACTTTATTTATTAACTAAATTTTTACAATAAAAAGAATTCTAAGGAGAGTCACCCTTAAAAAATGGGTCGACCTATTCTCAGGCCTAACAAATATACACAAAAAAAAACTTAAAAATCGGAGAAGTTCGATAACAAACACGATTTTTACACGCTTTATATTATGCACTTGTATGTTTGTTTGTAGCCGATTCCTTTGGGCGTGATTTTGACTGACTTTAAACGGTCAGAATTCGTTCAAACTTTGTAGATATATCGAGGACCGATGACAATACACTAATTTAAAAAGAAATAGTTTAAAAAAACTAAAAAACACCTTTCTTATAGAAAACCAAACTAAAAAATAGACAATAAATTTTAATAAATTTGAAAAAAAACGTGGGGTGCTTTTTACTATTGACAACAGGCACCAAACGCTTTTTTTTTTCAAATTTATAAAAATATATATATTAATATATTAGATTTCTTTGTAACTATTATGTATTTATCTCAATTATAACTGCCGTATCAAAGATAGTGTCTGTATGATATCGTTTTGATCGGATGATTAACATTGTTCACATGTCATAGTTTAAAGACAAACCGTTATATATTTTTAATTCATACGGTTTACATCTAATTTCAGTAAACCCTGCATGTAAAAATGGAGGTATTTTAAATAGCATAAAACTGTTTACATCGCGACTCTCGTGAATTTATTATCACGTAAGAGGTGCAAAAACTCACAGTATTGACAACGTAATATTTCACTGATAATAAAGAACAAACATACAATGGTTGCCTTCAAGAGAAAACTTACATTATCAATTTTCCAATACAGGTTCTAACAATATGGAACAAAAGGAAAAGTGTATAACGTTTTTTTAGTGTAACACTTTTATTGTATAAATAGCGTAACGAGGCTATCAATATAGTTTTTAATAGGAAAAGTGTCAATCTCGTCATAAGCCGGTAGTCTACACTGCTGCTATCTTCCTACAATTAAAAAAAAAGTAATTGAACCTCATTATTCACATTTGCTCATAACGGTAGAAGTTGAATGTACATTCCTCCTTTTTAAGTTATTTGATTTTAGAAAGTTATTGTATCATGAATACCGGAACCGAACCGAAATGACGCTTATCGGTTCCGGTGAAGCTTAGAGGCATACATACATATGGCGTTAATTTTAAATGTGATTGAAGTAATCACAGCTAAATAGAACTAAAGATTCCAATATGAAACTCGTATAAGCGTAGCCTATTTAGTTCTAATAATTAAAGCTATAGTTGTTTAAAGGTATTCAAAAATTAATAAGAACTCTAGTGCTTTATTGAAAGTAAAACTTAAGCCTTTTGGTTAATGAAAACTATTAAAATTGCAATAAACTTAGAAAAATGATATATATATATATCATTTTTCTAAGTTTATTGCATGTCCGTCACGACAGCAACATTATAATTGTATTATATCTCTTTAATATTCAAATAATTTAAAAAGGTTATTAAAGTCTCGATGTTTTGTAGATTAACGATGTATTAAACACTTTCAATTTCCTTAGAATCTCTCGGTCATCACGTTCAGAATTGCACGAGTCAGGCCGAGTTATAATACTGAATCGAAACGAACAAGGCGTGTAATTCTATAAACTGTATGAAAGTACGGATTTTGAGTCATTCACAAAGACGACCTGAATTTTCGTTACAGAGAAATTGAACAAAACTGTCACCTGCATTCATTACTTTATTATTTGGTTTCACTAGTAAATAAACAGCTGACCACTATTTTATTTCCATTAACCCCGAATAAAGTCTTTATCACATACAGTATAACCATACAAATATGACATTCATATAACCTTAATTTTTAACATTTCACAACTTACATTGAGAAAAAGGTTAAAAGAAAAATGGGTTCAATCCAAATGGAATTGAAATCATTCCTGGACGTAGGTATATCTACTTACAAAAAATACGTAAGCAATTTTCAAAAGAAGGTCTGGATGCTTGAAGAGGCCTATAAAATCGGATAGCGGTCCCCTAATAGGCCCTCATTCTTCTCATGAGTATATATGGTTTAACAGACCTTATTTCCGCGATTTATTGTAACAACTTTGTGAGAAAAATAGAGTAAGTAATTGTTCTGTCAAATCCACTGGCGCTGTTCATGTGAACCTCACTTATTATCACTCATAATGCGAGTATTGTAGAGTCACTGTGAGAACTCATAAGTATAGCTTAGTAAATACTTTACGTTTCAAGATGCCACTATAAAGATATGTAGATTAAGAATTTGGATCACAAATGGAACCAACATTTAAATTTCTGACCTTGTTACGCCTAATAATGTACAAACATTTAAATCAAATCTGCCAGACACAACGAAAGGTGAATATAATAAGTATTATGATAATGTTCTGTCTTGACTCGCAAAGGTTACAAGTTCAATTTAAAGTAACCGTAGCAAATCACTCAATAATGCCGTGTATTGTACTGGATAGCAAACATAAATACAGTTATTCATAGCAAAATGATTGACGTTGTAACTTAATATTTTAAGAAATGTTTAAAAAACACGGTTAAATGTAACAACTAGAGGAAATAACCACGTCTTACTGTGTACAAGTAGGTCGTAATGTAGTTGCGTGTTGCGCTTTACTGTGCCTGATTAACATATAATAACCAATCATATTACCATTTGTGTTGTACATTCACGACACTCAATCATAGTGTCGCTATTATATGATTAACAGGTATGTGGGGATAAATACATACTTTTATAATGTAACCATTATTTTAATAACATTACAGATTATTTCCATAAAAAAACTGTAGGTTGCCATACATAGGGCTACAACCATAAAAAATACAGAAATTCAAGTATTTTTTCAAATTCAAATATTATGTGTTCATTTTAGCACATAATGTTAGAATTAGGGTTTTCGCCGGGTATCGGGTACCCGGATATCAGGTACCCGGGTATCGGGTAGTATTTTTTACATACCCGGGTATTTGCAATTATCAGGGTCACTAACCACTAGAACAGGCCCGCCCTGAAGACGTGTGCTCCGGAGTTGGCACCGGTTTTACGCGCCTTTTTCGACTCTCCTATTCCCTAGGCATCGTCCCGAACTCCTGGAAGGTAGCGTTTGTTCACCCGATTCCAGAAAAAGGTGACCGCTCTGATCCGTCCAACTACAGACCTATAGCCATAAACCCCTTGCTCTCTAAGATTATGGAATCCTTAATCAACGGCCAGCTCCTCTGGGCTTCCCGATAAATTATGTAACTAGGTCACCAGTTTCCTTGCAGGCAGAAGCATTAAGGTCGTTATCGATGGTGCAGGCTCCGACTTGAAGTCTGTAAATACTGGTGTCCGACAAGGCTGGATGCTATCACTCTCACTGTCTCTTCTGCATATCAATGACATGTTGCGAACTAGTAGCTTCCATTGCTATGTAGATGATAGCACGGGAGATGCCTTTTATACCGGTCGACCCAATATTTCTCGGGAAAACGTCATTGAGAGTCGAAACAAACTTGTGTCTGAAATTGAATCTTCCTTAACGGAGGTTTCAGATTGGGGTCGACTGAATCTAGTCCATTTTAACCCAATAAAGACACAGGTATACGCGTTCACTGCAAAAAAGATAAGACCGCAAAAGTTCAAATTAAATTAAATTCTAATGAATTCTTTGATCAAAGTGGGTACCCGGGTCTGACAATAAAATAGTACCCGGGTACTAAAAAATTCAAACACCAGGGTATACCCGGATCCCGTGGGAACCCGGGTAGAAAACCCTAGTTAAAATCATATACCATTTTTTTTTAATTATCGCCCTACGAAGAAAATAGTCACATACACACTAGACGGATATATTATAGAAAGATTTCATTTGTTACACGATTGACCTTCATCAATATATAATACTGAATAGTCTTAGAATTATGCTTATTTTATTTTCTTATTTTAGCGGCGCCACCTGGAAACGTCTGCTACAGTAACGAACATTGTCGTTTGTGGGATAAAGAGAGTCGTTGTGAATTTGTTATACTTAATCTGTTTGGAAGATGTTCGTGCAATAATTATTATAAACAAGTGGGTGATAAATGTGTACCCCAGAAAATACCAGCGTATGCAACAGAAGCTGTTGTAGCAGAACTAGATTCTTTCGTTGACCCCACCAATGCAACCGCGATATACAAAGATTCAACTTTTCAACGTACGCCCAGTATGGACAATAAACCATTTGCATCCCCGCCAGCGCTCATTAGCTCAGACGATATTCAACCGAGCAATTTACCTCTATACACAAATAAGAATGACGTTTTCAGTACCTATGAAGACAGCCCTTTAATGCAGGCTGTTATGAAAGTACCGACGGCAGAATCAGTAAAGCGTTTGCCAGTTTCAAATAGAAAAGATGGCGAACCAAACGAAAGTATAAGAGTAGATGAAATGACGGCTAATTTGCATGCAAATGATCAGCCAATTTACAGAGTTGTTACACAGCCTTCGGTGGATAGAAAAACTAACAAAAAAGGTAGTGGTGCAACTAAGGAACAATCGAATAGCAAAAAAGGTGGACACCAAAAGAAGTCTTCATTAAAAGGTATAAATTACTTTTCGGAAAGCCATTTTACTGTTATGGTGTATTTTTTCTAATGAATGTTAATTGCAGTGATTTTCTTTCAGATAAACATCGTATCCGTACCGAAACTGCATCGTCGGTGGTCGACCTCGGTCCGACATCTTTAGGTAATCCGTGCATAGCAGATGAACAGTGCCAACAAGTGGATGTCTATTCGCGTTGTCTTAACAAGAAATGCGACTGCGCATATCGCACAAACTCCACTTCAGCATGCTCGGCTCGTAATAGAGGCTGCTTGCCAAACACGTTCCAAGTAAGCGTTTTCTTTCAGCCTAACTTATGAAAAGGAGGTGTCATGTATGATGCATATCTGTATTTGACCCAATGACGACAACCATCAAGAAGTTAGTATTAACCTGGTTGTTTTGGTTGATGCGTGGTATATTTATTACGTAAATTTATTAGTAACCAAAGCATTTGGGTAAACAAAAAACTATATGAAATTCTATTTCAACAAAAAATCTTTTAAAAAAAAATCAACAAAGAATCGCCCGAGTTTAGCCTGTAAAGTGGTAGGACAAGATTCGAATATCAAAACAGAAAATAATAAATAAACCCAAACAGTTATTGAAAGTAATATTTTTTGGCCTTTTCATTGTAGTGTCGATCAACTGGGACGTGTATAAGCTGGTACTTCGTGTGTGATGGTCGTAAAGACTGTCCAGATGGATCAGACGAGAAATGTGAAGGTACTGGCAGAGGTTCGTAGACTGGGCACTTTTGAACATATCGCACATCTGTCATCTTCATTCGTGTCATTACGAGTATAATTTTCAAATAGTTAAACTATTTGAAAATTATAACTATATATAAAAATTATACTCGGTGTAACAAAATCGGTGAAGGTTAGGATACAATTTTCACCTGTAATCATGTTGGACGTATTAAATTTACTTCTTATTTTTATTACACATTACTAATTGCACTGCTTTTACTGGGTTTTGTGTTATGTTTTCTTAGTAGAAAAGTCACTTAAGTTATTGCATATTTTAGTCCTGAATGATAGTTCTTCTTAACTTACTAAAATTATATTACACAATTGTAAATTAAGTACCTATGTGATGCTGCAGTTTATACCACAAGAAATATCAAAATGTCATAGAATGTTATTTACAATTAATTCTTGTTTTTTTTACAAACACCTCATTCTTTCATTTAAAAAGTATTTTTCACAGAGCAAACGGGAGAGCGTTGTCCAACCAATTCGTTCAGATGCGGAGGACCCGGTTCACCTTGTGTCTCAAGAGCTTCACGATGTGATGGAACCCCACAATGTCCTGGAGGAGAAGATGAAAAAAACTGCAGAACCACTAGACGTAAAGGGTACGCATAAAAGAAATATAAAACTTTTAAGACAACACAAATAGACATGAAAAGATTGAATGAAGAAGCGTCAAGTTGCCATTGATATGTTTGCAAATTTTCTATTTTGGTTTACGCTTGCAGAATTCAGATGTCAGGTAACCTGTTATTGAAGCAGACAAGTAAAGTTTGCCAATCGTTCGAATCAATTAAATAAAATAAAAATCGAATCGAAAAAAAAAGAATGCGAAAAAAGCAAAGTCGTTCAACCCGATTTCTGACAAGTTTGTATTAAAAATTCGGTGTGTTTATTAGTCATACACTGTCCCGTATTTTTCCTGAAATTTTCGTTCCGTGTTCCGTTTTTCCGTCTAACAATAAACTCTCTTTCTCAGTTTTTTGTTTAGAAATTTTTAAATATCCGATGCCTAAATTAATCGGTCATAGGTTGGTGGCATACAACTATACTACGTTATTAGTACATAATACTCATAACTTGTGAAGATATGAGTACTATGTACTAATAACGTTACACCTTCTCATCATCATCATCATCATCATCATCGTCATCAACAGCCTTTAATAGTAAACTGCAGGACTTAGGCCTCTACTTAGAGAGATCACTTCTCCACCTTCTCTTCTACACCTTTTCAAGATTCGTTAAAATTAATACTAGAAAGCTCCACTCATTTAGCCACAACATGCAAAAACAATTTAGTACACAACAATAAATAACAAAATTAAGTTCAGTGTACAATATAAACCATGTAAACATTGCAAGATGGTTTTGACGAGCGAGCGTACACTTTTACGCCCAAACAAACAAGACTTCGCCGAAATACATATGTATATTAAATGAGTGCAACCATAAATATTAGTTTTGGCCACCAGACCCTTTAGTACATGGTATATAAATATAAAAGTGGCTAGTCTTGCTGCTGAAAAAAGCTGTTAATAAGGAAACCAATTAAAACTACAAATGTTAATTATGAACTTATGATTTATGAACATGGACTTGGCTACTAACTGCAAAAAGAAGAAACTGGCAGACTGATTCACTGACTGGTCGATTAACGCACAGCTGAAGTTGCTGGGTCTAGAAGCATGACATTTTGAACAAATGTTCCTTAAGTGACGTAGGTGTGCACTAAGAAAGGATTAAAACTTCTACCCCTAAGGGTGCAAAATGCGGGTTGCAAATTGATATGAAACTTTGTTATTTTTGGTTGTAGCGTTTTCAAACTCACAGTAAATATGCTTTAATAAAAGTAATAAAAAAACATTGTTACTATTTTTATACTATAAATTTATAAACTACCCCTATAAGTTATTAAATGGGTTTGTTATAAAATAGAGTTAGGAATTTGTACATGCTTATTGTAGTAGAGAAAATCCGAGAATTCTAAAAATTTGTAATGTGATGTCTGAATACTTACAAGAGAAGAGTTTTTAAAGGCGCCTGTCTTATGCATTTAGCGCTTTAATGCTTTAATACTTCTAAGAGTATGTAAGAAAAAGAAGTAAAAATTACGTCAGAAGTAATGTAACTAATTAGAACGATACTCGTAACTGACTATAATTCTTTTTGCAGATGTCCAAGGCATACCTTCCGATGCGGTTCAGGTGAATGCTTGCCGGAGTACGAATTCTGTAACGCAATCATTTCATGCAAAGACGGATCGGACGAACCCCCACATCTTTGCAATGAACAATCAAGGTAAGATTTCTTAATTAAATTAATATTCAAACTTTATCATCGACCGCTATTTAATCTAAACAAACAGCAAATTTGCTGATTTCGCAAACAGCATTCCTAAGTAATATTGACAAAGATTGGTATGTCATGTATGGGGATACCGATTAACGCCTATTCACGTACAAAGCCGACCGTAATAAAAAGCACATAAAAGGAAAAGACCGTCTAAGCAGCGGCAGCATTCGTTAGAGAGTAGATGGATATGAAAAGTCATTGCCCCTGAACAGATGACAAACCTAGTCTAAAAGAATATCGTCACTTCTTTAGTTACGAAGATAGTAGTCATCACTAGTGAATATTTAGTATTTAAATTAACAAGAACCATAATGCCGTTCGGTCTGCACAATCTTCTTACATCTGTTAGTAGGTTTGCCCTATTCAGGTTACGTTTGAAATCGCCACCAAAATACTTGCAAAGAATAAGTAAAGTCGATTAAATGGAACCATTTTACGACTTCTTCTACAACCCGCATACATCAAACAAAATAAACACACTACGAGCGTGACTAGGCTGCGATGACTATTTAGGTTTAGGTGAACAACACTTGTTTAAAGCATTGTGATGCAAATAAACAAGATAGAACCGTTATGGAAAAAGTAATAAAATATTTTTAAACAATAACTTTAATCATTAAACTATAATAATGATGTGGTTTTATAGGATACGCATTAATTATTAATAACAGTGTCGTTTTACGGTTAACGTCAATAAAAGGTTAACATACCTAAAATAACAGGCTGTTAGATTCATATTTTTTTGGCGCCTTTCTTATAAATATATCTTACTCATAAACATATTGGAATTTACGACATTTGCGTAAATCGATTGGAGAATAAACGTCATAAAAAATAGCGGCATTTCCTTTTATATGATTTGTCGATATAGGTCCCAATTTATGAATAAGTTTTTGGCAGATGGTTAATGAAATGAAAGTCCTTTATTAAAAAATATGAGAAATTTAATTAAACTTATGTTAAACTCTGAAAAGTGGAAAAATAGATTTCAAAATTGATACGGTAATTCTACCCATTGTTACCTAAGTAGTGTATAAACCGTTTAACGAACATAAATGTTTGTTAATAATATTTAAATATGAAATATCTTTAATAAAAGACGATGAATGTTAGAACTGTCATCTTAACTCAATTAAAGATCTTACTATAATCCAAAAAACTGCTGAAATTATAATACTGCACGGCTATATACTGGTAGCAGGAAAAAGACTTCATTAATATTATTATTCGGCTTATTTTTATGTACACGTACACTTCTTCTGTCTTCAATCTCAAACTTAATGCCAACGTATGCCAAGTCGTCAGTGAGATTACGTCAAGAGAGCTAGATCATGATTAAATCAGTAATAGACACAAAATCTATACTAATATTATAAAGCTGAAGAGTTTGTTTGTTTGTTTGTTTGAACGCGCTAATGTCAGGAACTACTGGTCCGATTTGAAAAATTCTTTCAGTGTTAGATAGCCCATTTAACGAGGAAGGCTATAGGCTATATATCATCACGCTAAGACCAATAGGAGCGGAGCACCAATGAAGAATGTTTCAAAAACGGAGAAAATTTATTACTATTGAGAGACGCAGACGAAGTTGCGCGGGTCAGCTAGTATACAATAATTCATGTAATAAAAAAGTAGTTTTTATGAAAGACACCAAACGCAGACACAAGATATCTTCTTCATTATTACTTAAGTTTATATAAAACACACAATTTTCGCCTATACACATCTTATGTTTTCTTTCTCTATGTCCCTCGTTTTGAATGAGGGATGTAGCTCGCCTAAGAACCACCTGTTTCGTATGAGCATTTGCCCGCTTATATTGGTTGAGTTGGGAGGAGGTTAGGTGTGGACATTCAACTAAACTAAATGCTATGCAGCACGGGCCCTTCTTGTATTAATTAAACATAAGCCTTCATAGTTATATTGCCTTTCTCCTCATAACGTAACCTTATGGTAACTGTACCAGATTACTCCTAAAGCTAGACCAATGGTACAACAATTGTACATAAATAACTCCTTAGGCTATTCCGTATAAGGTGTTAACACTTGCATTTCGTAATCATCACACGTGCGACCTATAACGGTATTTGTCCAAATATTTGACCTTAGCTTATGGCAGTTGGTGTGACATGACGTATTATGTGTTTATTCAGATGGCGTGCGGCAGACTTTTGTCCGTTCCGTTGCGGGAACGGTCGGTGCAGGAGTACTGCAGTTGCGTGTTCAGGACGCGATGGTTGCGGGGACAACAGCGACGAAATTGCATGCAGTATTTGTAGTAAGTATCACAACTTCAAACACCTAGTAGGAGTATCCACGGTCAGTACAAAAAAAATAGAAGTTCGAGTGAAAAAAATATTAGACCTCTTGGAAACACAACAGCTGTAATACATATTTTAAATTAGATGTTTAATAGTTTCTAGGGTTTGTAAACACTATTTGACACGTACTTACGTTCCGGTCACCAGACAAAAGTCTTGACAGACAGGCGCATAGACAAAAGAACGGACAAAGAATAAAGATAAACGTTTGCATTTTCTTTTTAAAATTACTGAATGTTAAAAACAAAAAAAATCACAACAAACTTAGCCTCGGTTTGAGATACCTGGATAATTAATGTTAAATTTACGCAAACAAAGGTGATCCTTTACTTGCATTTAAAACATTTACGGGACTTGATGAATAGTGATCTCTTTAATTAGTAACCGAGTCTTCATACATTTTATAGCTACATAGGTTTGCTGCTGCAACTAATGACTAATCTGGGTGTACTCAACTATATGGAAAAAGTGTGATGCTTAAAATGCGGAACGGGCTCACATACTAATATTAACTGTTTACCGAAGTTACGTTACGAAGTTAAAAGATTTATAGATAGCAACGTAAAAGAAGACCACCAATGCTGATTGTGGTGAAATGACATAGGCAGACAAAAAACGATTTATTTAGCACAATAGTAATGTCTGTCAGGAACTGTTAGGTGACCACTTGACCAAATATGTGAAATATGAGCCCCGTTCTGCATATCGCCGATTCGTCACGATTAGTAATGCCGTTACGTGAACAATAGTATTCAAACGATATAGCAACAAAACACCGTTCGGCATAACAATGGCATAATTAAATTGCTTACACTTTTTTTTTTCAGAATGTCCAGCTCCACCGCAGTCGCCTTGAAAAGCCGATGAACTGTACAACACTAATGAACATTCCATGGCTGGATCTCAATGCTCAAATTTTTCTGGAAACATCTATAGCATTTTCTTAAATAATTTTAAAAACACATACCTACCTACGTCTTTTCGGTAGAGTGACCTAAATTTCGGTCTAATTCAATTATGAACCTATAGTGCACGGTAGTTATAGTAACATTGAGTTCTTTGTAGAGTTATACATTTGCAATTTCCTAAAAAACTTAAGAAACTTGTAATTGAGTAGTATTTGCAATCTGACGTATTGTTTCTCATAAATAGGACACGACTATAGGTCACTTACGACCTGTATTGAGTTGTAACTTTGTATAAGAGATTTATAATTTCACAAAATACGTAATATATAAATTAACTGCCTTTTTAAGTAAATGAGCATAAATTCAGGTATATTTCTCCATTTCGTAACTAGTTTCACAAAGTGTACATAATGTAGAATTTCCTGCACGGAGTTTTTAAACATCATCTACAGAGAAAAATGTGAATCTTCTAAAGGATTTTGTTCATATTACTAAGTATTATTTACGAAACTTATTTAAGCATTATATATATAGGCCACATATTAAACAAGACTGAAGAATGAAATCCGCGACAATTACCTACTTGGCAATGAGATAGAAATTAGTTAAGGAAATTTGCTGGATAATTATCAATGCTGGTTACTTTACATTTATATCGGGAAAGAAATTTTCTTTCAAGTTGAAATGGATCTCAACACCGACGGAAAGTTTTTTTTTTCAATCAAGTTGTGTTTGACAGATCGTTTTGATCGTTCCACTGTTACACGAAGCAGCTCAATGCCCGCTAAAATAGTTGTAAATATTTTTTATCAGTAACTTGTTTGGTATAGACACCATTATTTTCCTTACTCACAGACGATTATTAAAACCTATAATTAAGATTATTTTAGTATCTTGTGTTTGTGTGAATTTACCTGGCTATGTGCAGTCGAGTGTAACTTATTGTAATATAGTGTGATTATGTGTGTGAATGTGATAGTATTTATTAAATTAATTTCATTATGAATTATGTGTTTTTTTTCTAGAAATGCATTATGTCTTCTTTTTTATGGTATAGGGGGGCAAACCAACAGACGGTCACCTGATGGTAAGTGACTACCGCCGCTCATGTACACCTGATGACCAATGAACTCAAAGAACAAATACAGTGTTTAGACTTTAAAGGAAAACAATCTGTCAACAACAGTCTGCTCGTCTGCCCGCTCTAACATAAAAAAATATGAAACTACACTAGGTGCTTCTACTCCAGAAAGTTATGAGATTTAATTGAGATTAAAATTTCTTAACTAGCAATATTTTATAGTGGTAATTAATGACTTTTTTATAAATTCTATAAGGCTAGTTAGCCTTATAGAGTTCATAAAAAAGTTAATCAAATTAACAAACGCAAAATTACATTCCAAATTACCATCGTAGCGACATCTATATAAAAAGGGATGAAATATGATTGAAGCCGAAATGTTCCGATGTGATAAAAGATTCTAATTTTTTTCATTAGATGGCACTTATACCACAATAAATAAATCTTTGTGTGTAAGTGTTTTTAATAATTAAATTAATCAATAATTTCACTGGTTTTCTGTCCAGTGAGATGAAGACCTTGGCCATGTATGTGTTCATCACTAATACTTAAATCAGCTAAGTATTGCGATGAAGACCTTGGCCATGTATGTGTTCATCACTAATACTTAAATCAGCTAAGTATAAAAATGCAGGTGTGCAGCATTTCTTTAGGTCGAGTAACAACGTTACATTTGCATGTTAACAAAACATATAGAAAAATTACGATAAGTACCTACTTAACATTTAGTTTAATTAGTAGGTACATTTAGTATAAAATGCATAAAAATATAATAAATAATACTTTGTTAATTTTAAAAGCGTTATGCTTGAAACATCTAAATAAGTTGTATCATAACATCTAGCGGTATTAAACTAACTACTTGGATGTTTAATTTTTATTTTTATTTCACACATCTCACACGCGGCACTCTGATCCCAAATTAGGTAATAGCTATGTTTCTAAATACATATATTTTGCAGATAAAATACACCCAGACACAGAACAAATGATTGTGTTCATCGCACAATATTTGTCCTGGGTGGGAATCGAACACACAACCTTCAGCTTAGCAGTCAGGGTCACTGACCACTAGACCAACAGGCCCGAGAAAATGTATTAATACCATTTGTATGAATTTAGCCTTTGGTGAAAATAGAACAATATTTCTAAATTTGATACATATTATCAAATATATACATTACGAATTTGTTGAGTAAAATCACTCGGGTACCGGTGGTAGATACTCAATATTCATCACACAGATGGTCATGTAGCCTTAAGCATATTTAAAACATCGAAGAAAGACTGTGTTTTCTATTTCCGAATCACATAGGACGCGGCTGACCCACCTTTCTTCGCAAAGTTTACTTCCTGTAATATGTTAACTCACTGTATTGTAGTATGCTATCTCACTGTAGTATGTTATCTATAACGCTAGCGTTTCATAAGGTAAAAAAATAACGATTTGCTATTATTTTAGTTGGGCAACGGCAAGGGCAAAACAGCTGTATGTAAAAAAATAGGTTTTCATAAACAATCTGCATTCCCGCGCAAATGTAACTTGTTAGGAATACTTACGGTGGAATATATAGACAAAATTGTCTAACAACTATACGTGTCGTAATGTTAAAATTCACATTTCCAAATGTTTCTCACTTTTAACCGACTTCAAATAAGGAGGAGGTTCTCAATTCATACGTAAGTATGTTTTGTTACCGTAGAACTGCGTCTTTTACAAACGGGTTTGAAAATGTTTACTTAATAAAAGTGAAGAAGAAATGTCATTCCTAAATAAGGAGTGAAGAATACCGACAGTTTATTACAATTTATCACGATGTAGGCGTATTTTTTTTTAATCTGTTGTAAACCCTTCTACACCGATTTCTCCCCAAATTATCTACCCAAACTAGTGTTTGTATGATGGTTAACAAAACAAAATTTAAGACACGTGCGTCAAGGATGTTTCTCTTAGTGGTACCTGTATTTATTAATAAATGTCGGTGATTTTGTAAATAACGTAACTGCAGTACACAATTATTTATCAGTCATAACTGTAATTATTCAGTTCATCGCTTGTCTGTTGTCTTTTTATTTTAATTACTTTGTAATATATTATATATAAAATTTAATTTACTTTCTATTTTAATTATGGAAGGAAACGTGTCTTCAAACTCTTGTAAGGGATTTTGGGTTAATAGTTTTAAAATACTGATGTCTCCAATTTTAAGGTAAGTCTTTTATAAAAGAATTATTCAGAGAGTTTCTCCAACACTTAGATTTAGTGCAAATGTTAGGTAGGGACTTCCTTTCTAGGGTATACCTGGTTCCCCGGCTATTGGTACCCGAGACGGCGTGCGATTTTAGTCGGTTCGAGACCGACATGCCACCGATAGGTGGTATCCGAGGGGATGTACGCAAGGAAAAAAAAAATAAGGTGAAATGGTCATAATTAATTTTGAAATAATCGATGCAATCTGTTTATAATGTTTCTTAATTTTAAATATTCAGTGATATTTTAGTAAGATATTTGACAAGGCTCGGTGTTAGCAATTAATTTATATGTATTTAAGGAACATTTTTGGTTACAAATTTAATATTTATTTTTGTAGAAGAATCATTTCGATCTAATTATTTACTGTCATTGTATTGAGTATATATATATTTTAGGTATATTATTAACTGTACAACCACTTATTTGCTTTGTAATGTCTGTTTTGTAATTCTCCTTCTGTTCTGTTTTTATATCTTTTATTTTTATGGTTTATATTACATATGGTATGGAACAAGGCACATATACAGTCTAAATCTCTTCTTGAACTAGTAAGTATAACATTACAAAATTACTTGGTAATTCTATATATGGTACTAAGATTTTCAATATTACTTAATCGCTACAACTGCCGCTTTAAACGGCAAATAATTTTATTAGCTAGTAGCTAATAAAATTAATTGCCCGTTTAAGCCTAGTTAGTCCTTATATAGATAGCTACCTGGTAATAAAATATTTTAAAAATCGGTGCGGATGGCTTCATGGCGGACATCTGACGTTATGCTATTCTCCGGGACCCTGATGCCTTCCTTGCCTTGGCCAATAAGTGCCTCACCCTGGGCCACTTCCATAAAAAGTGGAAGGAGGCCACAGTCGTGGTGTTGAGGAAGCCGGGCAAGGAGGCCCAACAGAGCGCCAAGTCATACAGGCCCATCGGCCTGTTGCCTGTATTGGGAAAAGTCCTGGAGAACTGGGAAAAGTGGGGGTCAAAAACAAACTTAAATTCGCGCCACTCAGGACCTGCGCAATGCTTCTAACTAACAAGCTGAAGCATTACAACCCGCTCCTGAGCATGGGCGGGGTCGACATTGCACTGTACCGAGAGCTTAGGACCCTGCACCCTCTCGGGAACCAGGCGCGCCGAAACCTCAGCAAGGCCTTAACTCAGGGCAAAGATGTAACTTTGTTCTGGATCAAGGCCGACGCCAGCATCGACGGCAACAAGCGCGCCGACCAGCTGGCAAAGCCCTCTCGAGTCGGAGGAAGCCCTACTACGACCTGTACCCGGTTTAATTCGTCAAGCGACAAATACGCAGCGACTCGACTCGACGAATGGAACCGGAGATATCAGTCGGGCCACACGGCCTCCGTCACGAGAGTGTTTTTCCCAGACGTGAGGGATGCGTGCTGCCTGGTGCGGAAGATTCAACTCCAAGGCGTTGCTTCGCAGATACTCACAGGACGTTGGGGGTTCTCCCAATACTTGCATCGCTTTAAGTGTCGGGAGACCCCGTCATGTACTGCGACCCAGCTAAGGATGAAGACGTCCAGCACATCTTGTTAGAGTGCCCCGTATGGGAGCGCAACGACACAAAGCTGAGCAACGCCTTGGAGTA